GTTGCTGAGGCTAAGTCCTGGGCAGTGTGTTGAAGAGGTGGGGGCTCTCTTCTGTTCAACCCTCACTCATGAGACAGAGGCTCTACTTTGGGCATGGCACATTGAAAATACTGGGGCCTCAATAGCCATTGCCCTGGTTCATGAGGTGGTAGTTGAGGCAGGAGAGGCAAGCCAAGAGGTCCGCAGTTACTGCCACCCTTTTCCACTGAATGCTGAGCAGTCAGCTTCTAGAGTGGGGTGTCACTCAAAGAGAAGAATACATTGTTCCCACCCTCAGTTCAAAAGACCAGGCTCAGAGATTTTCATGGGGAAGGAGAGAAGCAGGTCATTAAATAGGTAGCTCCTAATTTCTTCCCAAAGGAACTGACTTCCTTTGCAACAGTTTAAATGTGAAAACAGTGGAAAAGTTTAAACTTAAAAACAGTAGCAGATGTAGTAAAAGGAATTGGAGGGGATTTGTGGATCTAATGTAGATATAGCCTATACAAGGTCAGCTAGTGTTCAGGAGTGATCTGGAGAATAAGACAGCTGCCAGGAACCCTCATGGGGTCAGAACAAATATCAAACACCAACCTCAGAAATTCTTCTGAATAGATTGGTTGTAGACAAGTTCATGCCCCAGGGCATTGTTGTCAACAACAGAACAATGAGGAGGCAATTAGTCAGCTTAACAGCTGTGTGGTCAGGTAAAGAGTGGAAGCAAGGCCTACAATAACACTGATCTAAGCAGTGACTGTGGGTATACCCAAAGCTGTGTCTCCATGAGGAGGAATATCATAGACTTAACACTGTTGATTCAGGAAATAGACTTCACTAAATTAATCTAGCTGGTAACTAAACAAATAAACAAGAAAATAACAATAACAAGCCTTGAAGGGGAGGGAAGTACCCAAAGTTGTTACAATATTTTACCTAAACTGTCAGGTTTCCAACAAAAAAAGTATGAGGCATAAAAAGATACATGAAAATATGACTTATTTACCAGAGAAAAGCAGGCAATCTAAACTACCTGTGAAAGTGACCAGATGTTGATTTGACAGGAAAAGATTTCAAAGTAGCCATTATAAATATGTTCACTGAGTTAAAGGAAAGTTTGATTAAAGAACTAAAAGAAGATGTAATGGCACTGTCATATCAAATAAAGAATAGCAATACAGACATAGAAATTTCCAAGAAGACTCAAACAGAAATTTTGGAGTTGAAAAGTAGAATAACTGAAATAAAAACAAACTCATTAAGTGGGCTCAACAGTAGATTAAACTGTCAGAATAAAGAATTTGTAAACTTCAAATTTGAAGCCAGATCAATGGAAATTATGCAAGCTAAAGAATAGAGAGAAAAGTGAAGAAAAATAAACAAAACCTCAGAGAAATGTGTGAAATCATGAAGCATAGCACCACACACATAATGGGAATACCAGAATGGAAGGGTGAGGAGAGAGAGAAAAAAGGAGAAAACATATTCAAAGAAATAAGGCTGAAATATTCTCAAGTATATTGAAAAGCAATAACCTACACATCCAGATATGAACTCCAAGTAGTATAAATGCTAAAAGGCCTACAAACAGACATATGATAGTAAAAATGCTGAAAGTCAGAGACAAAGAGAAAAGTCTTAAAAGCAGCAAGAGAAAAAGTGCACATCAATTACAAAAGAATCCCAATGGGATTAACAGATGACTTCTCAGCACAAACAATGGAGGCCTGAAGGCAGTGGGATAACATATTCAAAGCACTCAAATTAAACACACACACACACACAGACAGAGTCAACCAAGATTTCTATATCCAGCAAAGCTACTACTTAAAACTTAAGGTGAAATAATAATTTTCCCAGGTAAAGAAAAACTGCAAAATTTTGTTACTAGCAGAATTACCTCATAAGAAATACTAAAGGAAACTATTCAGGCTAAAAGCAAGTGACCCCAGAAAGTAATTAGAATCCACATGAACAAAGAGCACCAGTAAAGTTAATTATGTAATTATAAAAGGCACTATTAATGCATATTTTTCTTCTTTCTCCTCAATTGATTTAAAAACCAATTGTATACAAAATACGTATATTATGCTTTGTTGGGCCTATAACATATAGAAATATAATATTTATGTAATGTATTTACCAATATCAGTACAATGAAGGTGAATGGGAGCAAAACTGTTATGGGTTAAGGAAATGACAATAGATGGTAAAGTAATGATTATAACAATGTGTGATTAGGTTTGTAACATTGATAGATATGACAACAATAATACCACAAGAAGGGAGAAAATGGAATAGAGCTAGATAAGAGTAACATTTCTATATATGACAAAAATAAAGCTAGTGTAGATCTAAAGCTGATTCTGATAACTAAAGGTGTATATGGCAAAAAAATACAAAAAGTAGTGAAAATGTCATTAACGAAACTAAAATGCTACCCTAGAGAACATTCACAAAAGTAAACAGCAAAGTATTAATAAAGGAACAAAAAAAGACATGGGACAAAAAATAAGATGGCAGGTCTAAATTTAGCTATATCAATAATGTTAAATGTAAATAGACTCAACAATGCAATCAAAAGACAGAAATTATCAAACCAAATGTTTAAAAGAATGATTCAACTATATGGTGTCTACATGTGAAACACTTTAGATTTAAAGACAAAATAGATTGAAAGGAAAATGATGAAAAATATATGTAACACAAATAGTAACTACAGAATACTAGAATGGCTATACTAACTTCAGAAAAAGTAGACTTAAAAACAACAAAAAAATTATTTTGAGATAAAGAGTGGCATTTTATAATAGCAAAAGTATCAATCCGTCAGGAAGATATAACAATTATAAACATATATATATATACATATACACCAAATAACAGAACACCAAAATACATGAAGCAAAAACTAACAGAAATGAAGGGAGAAACTGACAATTCAACAATAATAGTTAGAGACTTCAATACCCTGCTTTTCATAATGGATAAAACCACTAGATAAAAGATCAATGAGGAAATACAAGATTTGAATACACTATAAACCAACTAGACCTAACAGATATCTACAGAACATTCCACTCAACAGCAACATAAAATAAATTCTTCTCAAGGGAACATTCTCCAGGATAGACTACATGCTAGGCCATAAAACAAATCTAAATAAGTTTAAAGGGTAGAAATATTATAAAGTATGTTCTCTGACCATAGTTAAATGAAATTAGGAGTCTATAAAGGGAAAATTCTGGGAAACTCAAATATATATACAAATCAATAGCACACTCCTAAAAAAAATAGATCAAAGAAGAAATCAAAATGGAAATTAGAAAACACATTGTCATGAATGAATCTTAAGGCACAACATAACAAAATTTGTGGGATGCAGTTAAGCAGTTTTCAGGGAGAAATGTATAGCTGTAAATGCCTACATTATGAAAGAATAAAAGATCTCAAATCTAACCTACTACCTTAAGGCACTGAAAAACAAAGGAGCAAACTAAACCTAAAGCAAGCAGGAGGAAAGAAATAGAAAGATTAAAGCATAAAATAATGAAATATACAATAAATTAGAGAAAATTAATAAAATCAAAGTGTTTTCTTTGAAAAGCTCAGCAAAATTGACAAAACTTAGCTGGTTTGACCAAGAGGAAAACAAAGAAAAGATTCAAATTACTAGAATCAGAAATGGAAGAGAGGACATTACTACCAACCTTAGAGAAATAAAATGGATTATTTTTAAAACTATGAAAATTTTATGCCAACGAATTAAATAACTTAGATGAAATGGACAAATTCCTAGAGAGACACAAACTACAGAAGCTAACTCAAGAAAAAATAGACAATCTGAATACACCTATAACAAGTGAAGGGATTCATTGGTAATCAAAAGACTACCCACAAAGAAAAGCCTGGGCCCACATGGCTTCACCCTGAATTCTACCTACATTATTACCAATTATCCAGAGACTCTTCCAAAAAACAGAAAAAGAAGGAAAACTTCCTACATCATTCTATAAGTCCAGTACTACCCTGAGTTCAAAGCCAGAAAAAGACATCACAAGAAAAGAAAACTACAGTCCAAATTTTCTTAGGAATATAGACACAAATTATTTAACAAAATACTAGCAAAACAAGCTAAGCAACATATAAAAAGAAATATACACCATGACCAAGTGGAACATATCCCAGGGATGCAAGGTTGATTTAATGTTAAAAAATCAATTAATAAAACTCATCATATAAATAGAGCAAAAAAAATCACACTGTCATTTCAGTAGGCACAGAAAAGCATTTGACAAACTCCAACCGCCTTTTATGATAAAAACAATCAACAAACTAGAGATCGAAGGAATCTTTCTCATACATTATGTTCCACTGTGTTGCTGCAATTTCTTAAATGAATACTTGAGCCCTCCTAGGGCTATACTGGTTTGTGGATAGCTGTCTATATTTGTTTGTTTTTCTTTTTTTGTGTGTGGAGGGATGAAGGTTGGTATCTCCTGTTCCTCCATATTGTTGATGTCTCAACTGAAAAGAATGTCCTCAACTTGATAAATGCCATCTGTGAAAAACCTACAGCTAACATCATACGTAAAGGTGACTGGATGATTTCACCCTAAGGACAGAAGTAAGACAAAAAATGTTTGCTCTTGCCACTTACAATTAACATTACACTGGAGGTTCTACCCAGGAAAATTAGGCAAGAAAAAGAAATAAAAGATTAGAAGGGAAGAGGTAAAAATATGTCTACTTGCTGATGACATGATCTGGTATATAGAAAATCCCAAGGAATTCACTAAAAAAAACTATTAGAAGTAATAAATGAGTTCATCAAGTTTGCAGGATACCAGATTAATATATAAAAATCAATTGTAACAGAAGGATCCTGGATCTGCCTTTTTCCCAGTGATTCTTCACCTTGCTGAGCCTGAGCAGCGCTGCAGCAGAGGCCTCCCAGGCTTCTCCAGCTCCAGGGCTGACACTGGAGACTCGCATTTCTCTCATGAAACCTCTTCTCTTCCCAGCATCTGGCCTTAGGGGAGAAGAGAAGAAAGAAAATGGGGTGGCCTTTCTGGCTACCACAGAGCTGCCTGCAAGATCAGTCGATCTGTCCACACTTAACCTGACAGAGCTCATGAATGGGATGCTGAGTAGAGCTTTAAAAGATAGCAAGAAGTTCTTCTCTTTGCTGAGCATTACTTCCTACAGTTCCTTTGCCTTCCACAAGTTTTCTGTGGCCATTTACAACATTTCTAACCTGAAGACAGTAGACCCGGGCAAATTCCCCACAAGGTACTGCTACTGTTTAAACAATCGGACCAATGACCTTTCAGATTTTACAGCCCTACTAGTGGATATCATTGGAAATTCTACCAGCTACCTCACAGAGATTTTTAAGTCGACCTCCATCCTCTCAGTGAGTCAAACCAATGAATGTGACTGCATCTTCATCTGTGTGATGACAGGAAAGTCAGGTGAACCACCAGCCATTCTTGACAAACTCTCTGGGCTGAGAATTAAACACAATTCGCCAGCAGATGAAGCCAAGATTTGATCCTGTTGGTGTGATTTTTGCAGGAAGGAATCTTTCTGACTTCTGGGAGATGGCAGAGAAATCCCCTGTTATCAATTACACATTTACCAGCAGCATGTCTGGTGTTCTGGGTGAGTGCAAACCTCTGAAACTCTTCCCATAGAGTCACCAGACCAGGCTCCAACCTGGCAGACTGAAGACCAAATACTGCCCTCAGGTATTTTATTTAGCTATACTATGTTAAAAATCAGAAGATTTCACCAATATAAAAAACAAAACAGATTTCTGGATTCTCTCATAAAAGATCTGGCCATGCTGGATCCTTCCCCCAATCCATGGGACTGGAGCTGAGTAGCCACTGTCCCCATCATCCCAATAGAAAGGCACCTTTCTCCTGCTTTCCATAGTCCTCTCTGCCCCCTGTTGCCTTTCACTCTTTTCCTTGTGTTAACTACTTGGCTTTTGTAGGTATTTGAATTTGTGACCCTTTCTGGAGACATGGCCACTCATATCAAGTCCCTACCCAGCCAATCTCTACCACGCCCACCCCCACACCACACACACACCTGCCAACCTTCCTGTCTTTTCTCTGTCACCAGGTGGCATTTTTGGAACCACCTTTAAGTCCTCTTTCTCCACTACACTTAACTGGCATTTCTAGCTGAGTAAAGTTTCTGAAATCTGGCTGATCCTCTGAGATTACCTGCTGATGCTGGGATTATTTTAGTTCAAGTCTTCATCATCTACCTTTGGTCTGTAATAGCCTCTGAACAAGTCCCCCTTATCACACTCTCCTATTTCTCCAAAATATCCATCCATTGCCACAAGAGTGACAGTCTTAAACCACAACTTGGGTTATGTGTCTTCAGTGCTCACAAGTCCCCAGTCAGCAGTAGAAAGTCCAAAGTCCGTAGCCTGGACTGTGCATCTGTCTGTTTTCAAGCCAGTCCTCATCTCCTACTCTCTTTTTCCATGACTCCTCTGTTGCAACAACGTTGAAATCCTGCCCCTCCTCACAGAAGGCATGAGTCTCCAGACCTCTCTGACTGCTTTGTTCATGCTCTTGTCTCCATATGGCACTCCTTTCCTATTTTTCCATATTTCAGAACCCTATTTGCCTGTCAATCACCAGCTAAGATGCTGCTGCTCCTTCCTAAAGATCCCCCAGTCAAAATCAGCCTTCTGTCTTCTCTGGTCCTACAACACAGCACTCGCATGTTATTAGGCCTCTATGTTACTCAAGGTTCTATCATAGCTGGCTTGTATATGTGTGTCCTCAACGAACCGTACTGGAAGGCAGAGACAGAGTCTCCTTCACCCGCGCAGACCGCATTCTCTCTCGGTGCCCCACACAGTACCTGGCACACAGCAGACTCTTCATCAGTGTGCGTGGAGTGAAATGAAGAATCCGATAAATCTCCCCTTCCATTTCAGTGAGCTACCCTGACTTGTATTTATTGTAGGGCGTCTCTTGGTTACGCTGTGAAAGGAACCTCAATTTGTGTGGGACGATGTTGTTTGATAAGAAGATGAAATGGGTAGGAAGTCTTCACCTGCCCAATTCTGAAGACAGAGCTGAGAGTTGAGTCAATCTCATCTGGAGTCTTCTGACACCCTTCCCAACCCCAATCTCAATCAGTTCTCCTTTTAGTGCTCCTTCAATAAGGACAGATGCTTAGGAAAGGAGAACATATTTACTAGTTGACAATATGGCTGATGGCCTCCTAGCCAGTCACCTGGCTATAAGGACATAGGGGTGGTTTGCCTGGGTTGTACTTAGCCCCATGTCCAACTGATCTGGGAGCAGGGCTCAGGCTGGTTTTGCATGTGTGGTGTTAGTGGGCTCAGAAATGAGGTTGCAGGGTCACCTTCTGCAGTTGCGTAGGTTGTGTCCTACACACACTTACCTGTGAAAGGAGCAAGTGGAGACCAAAATGCAACGTGGGCTCTGCCCAACAGCTGCAGAGCAATCTCTGTCCACCCAGAGGAAGGGACCCTACAGGCTAGTAGAAGCCTGTCATCCTTGTATCCCTCCCCAAAGCCACTGCAGCCTTCCCTAGGGAGGGTGTAGGTAAAATTAACACTTGAGCCTCTCCCTCCTTTTCTTTATGGGTAGATTTCTCTCCAAATTAAGCCTGCTGTCTTTAAGCAGTT